CAACTCTAAAATACATGGGAGTGAATTTTTGACCAATTAAACAATTCCGTAGTAAATAGCAAAATCGGCTATTTACATCCTATACTCTGCAGTTTGATACTTTCCAGCATAACCATGCATACAGTTTATCTATCTCAGAGTGCACTGGATGCAAAAGAACTTGATCCTCAGTGGTTGTTGGCACGTGTAATTGAGGTGGGTACTATGCAGAAAATTGTTGGCAACAGAACAATATTGGAATTTTTTGACTAAGTACCCTCTTTCCATACAGAACTTATACATTCATCACCTTTATGATTCAAAAGTCTTGGATGCTGATAGAAATCCATCAGAGTATGCATTCCAATCCGAATTCGCCACCATCATCAGAAATTTGCTCCCATTGGCATACCCACTCTTGCAATATAAAACCTTGGTAGAAGTTAAAGAGCGCGATAAGGAAGAGTGCAGTAAAAAAGATTGTAAACAGCAATTGGATCTTCTCATTCGAAATGGTTCCATCCTGACTTCGTATGGCTTTGAACTAGTCATTGCAGCTAGTACTAGTGAGAAAGAATTCGACAAACATTGTGAGCATGCTGAAGAATTCAGAAGGCTCCATGACTGCCAGATGTTCATGGTCAATCTTTGCCCCAAAGTTACGTTGCGTGAATATTTTGGAAATCGCTCTTACAATTTGACTCTGGTGAATGTGGTCATTGATCCTGATGAGTGGAAAGGCACTATAAAATATGCAAAGAAAGATGAACCTGTGTCGATTAATGGTTCTACTTGGAAAGTGTTGTTCAATAGTACGGAATATTAATGTTAGTAACAACCGTGTTATGTAAATAATTGGCTTTAGCTTCTGAGTTCCGGTAAAGAAATGAGAATTGCTTATTATTATATAATGTGTGCACTGCAAAGCTGTCTTAAAATATGAATACGAAACTAAAGGGATTAGGAAAATCTATGCTCAGAAAAAGAGATTAAATTAAAAATTCATCTGTGGTTAACTCAATTAAATTTATCAGAGAACGAATTAACTTTGTTAGAGATTATAATTAGCAGATGTAAGAAAATAGTTGAATTTTCTTATCGTGACAATTATCTAACAGATATTGATTTAATATTAACTAACAATATTCATTTAGGAGCTTTTTATATATCTAATAACAATTTTCCTCATTTGGACGTTCAAAAAATATTTCATTTAAAAGAACTACAAAGATTAATCATTATCATTGGTATTCATTTACCTAATGATATTAAATATGAAATATGGTAAAGATGCTGTGTTACATATTTGGAATAAATATTATAAGCATAATGCTTGATTATGATATGGTTCATTAGAAGCTTTAGAGATAGTAAGCTAACTATGCTTAAATTTCTGAAACTGACATTGATGGTGATTTAGAATGTTTGCCTAAAAGTCTGTCCAAACATATGGTCCCTAATTGTAAATAACCACGATTTACCCTACATATCGATTTAATGCATAACGAAACATTTTGTCATAAAACTTTGTTAGCTTATTGCAAGCGATCTTGAAACTGATTCGTTCGAACGAAAAGACTATAAATAAAAAATTTAAAATACTTTTTAAACCTCTCGTAACAAAAGTGAGTAAAGAAAACTATTTGTTTTACATTTACACCTTGTTCAATAAACGGATATTACTCGCTCAGAAGAAATCATGTTTAACGTAAAGAATAATTAAACGGAACGATACTATTCGCTATTTTAACTCCAAATACGCGTCTTATTGTAATAAGGTATGGTAAAAAAGCAAACTTGACGTCTCGACGCGCTGTTAAACTTGAATATGACATACAGTGTGTTAAAAATTTTTGGAATTTTTCTTTTCTAATATAATTAGATAAAAGTTTACAAATATATGTATTTTTATACGAGAAACAAATTTACTTACGGCAATTTAATGAGTTATCTTATTAAAATGTTGTCTAATTTCAAAAATTCAAAACTCAAAAAAATTTGTTATTACTTGTATAAAACAAAAAAAATCCTATTATTTTTACATAAAGATTTTCAAATATGTTCTTCATGTTGTTACAAACAAGTTTACTTAATTAAATACCTTAATAAAATTTTTCTGTTCGTGGGCGATATAATAATCCAGAGACGGGTTCGAGTCGCCATATTTCATCTGCGAGACTATATTTCTCTATTATTATTTACCCAGTTAGTACGGTCGGTATCAAATCCCCTCCTTACAAAATTGTTTGTCATTATTAATTGTTATAAATCCCGGTAATTTCTACATCAGCGAGATTATTTTGATATTGTAAGAGTGTTGTTACAGAAGGCTTGACAGCTGTCAAAAAACCCCGCATTTCACTTATTCAATAAAGGCAGACGCGGAAGAAGCTTTACGTCAAGTTCTGGTATTGAAATGGCAATGCAATATCTTTGTTGCCGTCCATCTCGATGCAAAATCGCCACACAAGATTTTTGGGCTTTACATCCAAGGAGAAAAATAGAACTTGTAGACTAAGAAAACTACTGGTCGAAAAGAAAGTAAAGTACTTAAATCTATACATGAATGCTGCACAGCCTAGTACACAATTAACGGTGTTTTTTTTCCCAACATAACTCAAAAACTATTTACGTGTGGCTATCATCATGCAAGCAGTGAATTAAAAAACAAATTCATCGTGAATAGTTTACTTACCTAACAACATATTACTTTATTTGAGCTGAATTTTGCGTTGAATTTTGTCAATCACGTATATCTTATTTGACATAATGTGTACGGCAAAATTAGTGGAAAGATGTAAACCTGTTCCTTGGTCCAATGTCCGAGGGAACATACGTAATGAATGTCTTAGTCTAGTCTTTACTAAAAATAATAAGAGATACTGGCATAACTTAAGGCAAGCAAGCGGACGATGAGCGCCGATTTACCGGGTGATACGTAAAAAGAGCTGCCCGTTTACGTCTAAAAATCGTAAGACTAATCTTTTTATGGGTAAGTCCTGAAAGTAATAAAAAAAAAGCACATACTACATAGGTGAGCATTTTGTGGTTTTTATGACATCAGCTTATCGTATTATTTTTGACATAAAAATAGTATCTCAATACCATAACCCATTAACTACCAATTAGAAATTCTATTTGCGTAGCTTTTACCATCGCAAACGCACGCCAGCCAATAGAATTAGTTAACTGTGGCGCGTGATATTCAAACAGTACTATCCCCGCCTAATTCTTCCATTCTTGATTGCCATGGATCCTAGCATAGCAACATTGTCAACAATATTAAACTGTCTGTTTCCAGGATATTTGAAACCTGAATAATTTACAGTTCATATAGCATTTAAACTTGGACTACCACAACTTGCAATTCCAATCGAGTATTAATGTTGTTTTGCATTCACGAGCACAAACGCATACATCAACCATTCCAATCATAATAATCGTCGATTATCCCATCCCACCATTTAGAAAGGTGGCAACTTTAACGTTAAACAATTTACAAATGATTTCACATTCAACTTGCTGCCATCGTATCCAAATCTCGCTAAATATTTGGTTGCCAAGCATTTGACAAATAAAATTTGTTGCAAGTTATAGAAAAACAACATTGATTAATCGTTATGTTCGAAACATTCTGAGATCACAATGTGTGGCCTTGAATTAATTCGGATAATGGGACAATATTGTTAAGTCATGACCCATCATGGTGGGTTGACATATTTGGTAATTCCTGTGATGTTCTATTCTCGGTTATATTTGATTGCGAGCGAACTGTGGAAATTAAAATGCCGTATTGCCGTATACCATACTATGGAGAATGGCAAAACAAAAATAATTTTGTAGATTATTGTCAATACAATCTTAATTGTTCGTAGCGTTTACCTAATTGTGAACAGTTGTGGTCTTGTTCCAATGAATTCCTTTGACTGCTGTCTATTTTGCATTTACTAATTACAGGATTAGTAAATCAGAACGCAGTATTCACATTGGTGGTTATGTGAAAATTTTCGGATATTCATTTTAGCAAACTAAAATAAAATCTTGAGAATTTGCTTAGAAAGCACTAATTAAAAAACTAGATTGCCTTAGTGCAACGATACCACCATTCCCGTTAAAATCACAAACATTATGCATAAACAAGCCAAGAACGTAAATTTGGTTTTCCCATAGTCTTGGCAGGCGAGAAGAGCGAATGATAAGCGCAGGTTAAAGATAACGCAAAACCGTACAAACCGTTTCGAGGAATGTTAATTAATTAATAATAAAAAACCGAGAGATTAATGTAGTGAGCCTGATGAGCAACACCAAGCGCACGATTCCTTGGAAAGTTTTGCACTCCATAATACCTCGGTTATCAGATCTATTACATATTAATATGACTATAATCGTACATCAGACAGGATCATCGTTCATCCGACGAAAACGGTCTACGAATTCCAATAAAATCATGTGAAAGTCTCTCATTTTCATTTCCTTGACATAATCAAGCATCTCGTATTTGTCGATAATTACAAAAATGACTGCTGTTACGATGCTGTATTAAAAATGATACGAATTGCGAGTCATCGACAACACAACAAATTTTATGAACGAAATCGGTCTTTTACAAGAGAGGCAGAATTGCAAACCTCCCCAGATCTTAATTCATTAACAATATGTTAGATCGGAAAATGCGCAAACATGATAATTCTTTTATTTAAAGCTAACCAAATTTTCACTTCTTTTTGACATGATCGAAAAAGTGTTCGTCTCGTTTTGGATTGTCTGTATATACTCTGTAACTACATTTAATTTTTCTAATTTAAATCTAAAAACAAAGGTGCATCAGTTTTTACTTTTCAGAAAATAAGCAACTAATTGAAACGTCTTAGCGGGGTTTGCTGACTAATTACCGAATGTAAGACTATGCTGTGTGATCTACTTAATGTTGCCGTTTCATCGAACAACAGCTTCATTGTAGTCATTGATTTAAATTCATGATTAAATATCAAAATCGATAGTAATAGCTTCAAAACGATACTAATTAGTGTTAATAAATACAGATAATAGAAATTTTGTAAACGAAAATTCTTATCAATAATGACTTTCGCTTTTTGGTCAGGCACTGCACTTAATGTGTGACAAAATCGAGGTTTATCGTGTACAAGTTGCCCCAAATTGGGTAATTATCTGTACGACAATGGTCACGTTATATCTGCAATAGTGGGGAATCTTCGAGATTGGCGTACTGAATCATATGTTCACGGTAATCAAAGTGTCCCTGTATCACTGTTCCAAGACTTTTATATCCAAGTTTTCCGAAACAGCAAAGATGAAGTGTCTATGTGTTTGGTATTTCAGGATGAAAGAGAATCATCGGCAAGGCATCAAAAATTATTGGCAGTTTCAACAGGACAACGATATACGGTTTCTGCAGCAGATGTTTCTTAAGAAAGCTCTTCCATGTTCCGATTGGCTTGGCTATCAAACCAATTGAAAATTACAATTATTATTAAGAAAAATGTCCCAAATATCCGAACTTTGGTGAGGAGTAAAGATATTCGATTCGATTCCATTTTCCAAAAAAAGTTATTATTGGCATGCCGAATAAAAAGGTATGATTTTAAAAATCGAACAAATGTTTTAAGTAAAATGTTTACACAAAAAAGTTTTGTATAATAACTTATAACCCATGTGCGAATGCGCCGAGTATGATTCGATTGATGGAGTTGAACTGTATGAAAAACATGCACTAGTAGACACAGTCTAGCAGAATCGTGCTTGTTTAGAACTAGCTGCACGATTACGATTCCAGGATATAATAACAACAATAATAATAATAAGTAGAATAAAGTAAACGGTAAGGACGTACAACTTGGGATATGATCGTCTGACTTCTCATTGTCATATTCGTCATGTTACACGTGAAGAAGAGTAATTCGGGTTGTTCGGGACGAATCCCCGAACCATCATTATCTGTGTAGTATATTGTTATTGCTGTATTGCTATTACCTACATCACTGAAAGATGTATTGGTTTATCGTCTACAAACGGTTTAATGTCCGATTGGTTGGACCAACTGTTTGTTTATTGCTGTAATCACTGTAATATTGGATATTGAACACACAACCAACATTTATTGAATTTTCCATGACACAGTCCAGTAAGAGTCCAGATTGCAATCTACGATCTTTTTTTCTGGATTATGACTCGCAACTTGTTTACTTTACTCAACATTCGTGCTCGCATCTTAAGCGTCTGACTGATTATCGACCAATAGACGACGGTTCATTAATAGAGCGATATAATGTATAATAATAGCCGTACCAATGTGTAAGTGACGATAATGGGAATCACAAACGAAAGACAAACAATAGATTTAAATATGATGTTATCTCATGATAATGTTAATCATTACACGCATATAATTGAATGCATTTCAAATTTCTTCATTTATCCGACGAACTTTATCAAGTCACGTAAGTATAGTTAAATATTATTGACTTGAAAATCGACACAGTAATATTGGCAGTATGTATGACCAACAGAGTTGTGTTTCGATTCTATTTATAACATTCGGCGAGAAAAGCCCAAGTTTAAGAATTTGATATGGTTTGTCGCACCATGTATGAAACGCTTACATAATTGTATTGATCTAGCAAAAATGTCGGAAACTTGTCAATTAGCAAACAACATCCTTCGGTCAATTTTGGAACACAATTCCAGTAAGCAAGTCGACTGCTGTGCGGCTGTCATTTATAATGTGCTGGACGAGGGAGGAAAACATGCACGAAAATTCCCCGTTTGTAAATAAATCTGCTAAAATGATTATTACAACAGTTATGCATACGTTTAGTTGTATACAACCTGTGGAGTGAGTTTTGCGTTCAGCGTATGTTCCTAGTGTTGCGTACATGTTCCTAGTGTTGCATATGTTCTTGGCGTTGCGGATGTTCCTCGTATTGCGGATGTTCCTAGTGTTGCGTATGTTCCTGTTCTTGTTGTTGCTAGTATTGTGGCAGTATTCAGCAAACATGTTGATTTAATTTTCTCACGGCGATGTCGTTCCCGCCCATGCATTTTATTTAACAATTAAGCCAACGATGACCTTACCGCTAACCTTAATGCAATTGGCACGAGAGATCGACGAGTTGCCAAACAAAATGTTTGGATCGTGAAACGATAGTAAATCCTGGGTCGAAAAGTCCGTACACCCGTAGTTTTACGTTTTCATTTCAGCAGTAAAGACTGTGGATTCAATTTCTCTCGTATAACAACAATACGTGTTTCCTTGCCACACACTGTAGAGCATTATTGAATTCTTAATTAATTGGATGTCTATTTAGATATGCAAGCATTTCTCCTCCAGCATGTCTCTCTTTCCCTAATAATATGAAACACTGTGCTCGGCACTAAAAAATGAACGCGCAACAAAGGACACGATAACAAGGAGATCACTATGCCATAATTAATCTTGGATCTCATGATTAGCGTGCTTGGGTCATATTACTCTCGGTCATCACCTTCGGCCGTTGTTACACGACCACAACATGTAAATCTAATTAGCAGTTGTTGGGCATTGTTGTACTAGAACAGATGTAGACACTCTTCTTATGGACTTTACTGTCGTCTGGTGCGTCTAACCAATATTCAGAATTTTCACACAGTTTAATTTAGAAATTGTGCGACAGAAGTTGAAGGCATCTTAATCTCGCTGCTATCGATGAGGGAGTTAAGGGGTTCGTTGACAGAATCGGAAATTGTTGTTTACCATAGATTTCTAAATTCAGACAAAGCTAAAAGCATACCAAGTATTAAGAGAAAATATGGGCATTAATAAAAAAATCATATGTCCAAAATAATTTATTGTTTGTCTTAATTTTCTATTATTAATTATCAACACTAATAAGCATCATTAATGCAGCGAATAATACTATTGCTATGGATGTCAACGATATGTAAGTGTCGATCGGCTTAGGTGACGTAAATATTAATATGGAACAGTAATAGTGCAAATCGAATAATGATGGAGCGATTGGTGGAATGCGTATGACAACTCAAAGTGATTAGTATTAGTAGGCACATTTTCAGATATGAGGGTATAAAAAAGAACAAAAAAATCATCCGGCATACTCGTCAACTCACACGTCCCCTCCACTCCTTCTTGTATAAAATTACCTACTGACCATATACACTTCCTTAGTTTACTTACTTAACGATAAAAAAAAAAAAGAGTCCATAACCCAAATATGACTAGTTCTGTAATATTTGTAAAGGCCCTATACGACTTTAATTCAAGTGACTCTTCAAGCCTCTCGTTCAGAAGGGACGACATAATACAGGTGCTCACGCGCTTGGAATCTGGCTGGTGGGATGGTTTATGTAATGGCGAACGTGGCTGGTTTCCAAGTAACTATGTAACTGCAGTAGAAGACGACGATGACTTTTTAGACGACGAGGACAAGGTAAGGGTTTTGCAAGAATTGAACATGCGAGAAGTAACGTTTGGCGGTTGGAGAGCTTTGTAAGAAAAAAGGATTGCAGATTGCCATTTGCTTGAGTTGAGGTGCAAACGGCGTGATTGTTCCCTTCAACGAGAGACCAGTACCCTATTTAATATTAGCGTAACACTGTAATGACTTTACAGCCTAATGTAGTGATAGCAAAATGAGCCTGTACTTTCTTCACGACTGTATAAAATCAATAATTGGAATTTCACTATTTCTTGTTCGCTAGTGCGACCCTATTTGAATTAACCTAGCAAATTACCTGCTTTCATTCTCACCAACTCTTTTTCATACTCTCATTCTCACACGAACATCCGCTCTGCTCGTTCTTCTCAGTCCGATTGGGTAGCTCAACAGACCCCTGATGGGGACGTATTCTATTTTAATCCCCGGACAGGAGAATCTGCATGGGAACTTCCAGGTGATGACAATGAGTCGGTCACAACTACACCTTCAGTACGCGACGCTTCTTCGCCTCACGGTGAAAGCCCCAGCAACGGCCCTCCAAACGGTCACGCTCAACGCTCAAGTGAATCCCGTTCCGGATCCATTAGTTCTGTACGGGCACCATTGCCCGAACACTGGATACGACAACCTACCGAGGACGGAAACACTTACTACTATTTGAACACAATGACAAAAGAAGTTAGATGGACTTATCCAGGTGGAGGAAATGCTACTGCTTCAAGCGGTTCGGATCCTGAAGATAAAGTTGACGGTGACATTAACGGACATGATCTAAGTATCGAAGAGGAGGCGGTAAATGATGATGCTGCTGCTGTCGACGAGGAAAGTATTGCCAGTTCACATGGAAGCAGATTGAGTACTAGTACTATTGGGACAATTAAACAAAGAGAACAACAACAACAGCAACAACAACAGCAACAACAACAACAACAGGAAGACGTAAACGGAACTGAAACATTGCCACCCAATTGGGGCAAGAAATACACTGACACAGGGCGTCCATATTACTTTAATGTGATAACTGACGAGACCACCTGGAGTCTCGATAACGTCGATATGCAAACAGGTCAGTTAATAAATGCTTCACCGATAACCACCGAAAATCAGAATGAACCCCACGAAGACCGGCATGTTGATGACCTGAATGATGCAAGATTGCCAGCTAAAAAAGTTTCTTCTTCTTCTTTGATTGGGAGTAACACAAACGAACCACTTACTTGGGAGTCTCTCTCTAGTAATGTCTATCTTGCCATCCATCATTTGGATATGGCAGTGAAAGAATCACAAAAGTATTCCTATACTATATGCACTAATTCTGTCGTAGAGAGTATCCGCATTATGCTGTATGCATCGGGGACAGTAGAAAAAGAATCACCTACAATTCGTACAAACCGAAGTCTAAAAATATATCATAGATGTATCATGGCGTCTCTATCAAAATTAGTCCTATCCACCAAAGTGGCATCCGGCGTATGGCCTCCGCCAGATGCAGCTCAGAAAATGAAAAATGATGCTGATGAAGTACTTGCGGCGGTAAAGTCATTTGTTCAAGCTGCTAATCATCTTGTCGAAATCAAGAGAGTCGACCCCAAGATACTCGAGTGTCCTGTTGGTGGGGCATGGCGTGGGAATAACTTGCCTCCAACGCAGAATGGACGGCATTACAAAGGACCTGGTGGTGAAGAGTTCGATGGTCAACCAAATTCACCTACGATGTTCCCCGGACGTTCACTGACTCCAGATCTTCTTGCTTCGCTTGATCATATTTCTCGCAATGTTAATAAAGCGATTAATCTTCTCTTGTCACATCTTCGCAAGGCTGTAGATGCTCTACGCACCAATGCCCCTACAAATACAGCCTTTGCTCCGCAAATGATTTCGCAGACTCGTCAAGTTGTTACTCAAGTTGGACAATTTCTATCTCTGATCGAAGACATTAATCTCGAAGATTTGGACGAGTCAAGCGCAGGGTCAATTAACGAGTTTAAAATTGCCAAGCAGGCGTTATATCATAATGTCGCTGGACTGGTTATCTACACTCAATCAGCGACTGACCCATTAGCACCGCCAAATGTCATGGATCAAGTGTATCTCACAACTACTATTGTTGACAAGTCGGTAAAAGATGTGATTATTGCTTCTAAATTCCTTATCGAAGAGAAAGACGCTCAGGACCAACAACGGATGCAGAGCAACATGCGGCGAGGTAGTAATACCGTTGATGCAACGGTTAAGGTGAATTCTGGTAAAGATTCTCCTGAACAAGTTGGTGAGACAAGCAGTCAAGCTCCGACTAATACTGTGAGAGCAGAAGTTGGAACTGAGCACAAAACATTAGCATTGGAAACCGTACCAGAAGATGAAGTAGCCGATCAACAAATATCAGACGACAACTTGTATAACCAAACGGAAGAGTTTGATGCGGGGCCGTCTTCCAATGGAAGTCAGACAGCTATTGGGGACATGTTTGCTGTAAGAGTCATATATTTTTGCTATCAAAAATTATCTATATTCATTTGATGACAAGTTTGTATTCTAATCGTAATTTTTCTTCTTCTACCATAGGATCCCACACTTAGCCCAGCGGGAGCGAAATCGCCCCGAGACGAAAAACTTATAAGATTTTTCGGCCACGATCCCGCACTGGCAACATCACAGAAACGAGAAGAAAAGCCGGACTTTTTGAAATACGATTATGACCAATCCGAGATAGTTTTTAATTTAGAGGGACATGTCAAAGGTGGTACTTTGAGAGCTTTAGTTGAAAGACTGACAATGCACGACTTGTTGGACTCGAACTTTATTGCAACGTTCTTGTTGACGTACCGATCGTTCACGACCACGGAGGAGTTCTTTGACTTGCTTGTGAAGAGATTCATGATACAACCATCACCAAATTTGACTTCAGAAGAGAACGAGCTTTGGCAAGAGAAAAAACAGACGCCGATCAGATTGAGAGTGTTTAACATTATGAAGAGTTGGTTGGAAATATATTATATCGATGAAGCAGATTCACAGTGTTTGGAAAGGATGAGAGAGTTTGCTAGTACGGTTATGTACGAGCATATGGCATTTGCAGCCAATAGTTTGATAAAAGTTATCGACAAGCGGGTACGTATATTGAGCTGCCATTGAAGAAGGTTCATTGAAATGTAGTTTTCTTACACTTATTCGCAACTTAATAGAAAGAACAACCGAAAGACGCAACATTCAAGGGGCTAGTTCCTAGTACTGCGATCCAGCCGCCGCCACCGAATCTTCCAAGGAACATGAAGAAGCTTAGATTCGTGGACTTGGACCCTTTGGAATTGGCCAGACAGTTGACTCTTATTGAATCAAAATTGTATAATAAGATTCGTCCAGTTGAATGCCTTGGAAAGGCTTGGAGTCGAGAGGAGGGTGGCGAGATTGCCGAGAATATCAAGGCAATGATAGTTAATAGTAATCAGGTGTGTACGATGAGAGAGAAAATCGTTCGAGCATTGCCGCCAGAATAGTTCTATATAATCTTACTTTATTTATACTTGACATTTTCTTTCTAGATAACTGGATGGGTCGCAGAATCGATATTACATCAATCTGAAATCAAAAAGCGATGCAACTTGATAAAACATTTTGTAGCCGTTGCCGAAAAATGCCGAATTCTAAACAATTTCAATTCACTTACGGCAATTATTTCTGGTTTAAATTCTGCGCCTATCCATCGTCTGAAGAGGACTTGGGAGATGGTGAATGCTAGGACAATACAGAACCTTGAAGCGTTAAACAAAGTCATGAACTCGACCAAGAATTTCTTAGATTATCGAGCGCAACTGCACAGTGTTAATCCGCCTTGTGTTCCATTTTTGGGTATGTATATTTGATAATTGTTTAATTGTCTTTGTCTATATGTAAAGGTGATTTTGAACGCCTGTAATTTTTTTCCAGGTGTTTATCTTACGGACTTGACGTTCATTGAGGATGGTAATCCGAACGTCTTGAAAAAGAATCGGAATCTAATCAATTTTTCAAAACGAATGAAGACGGCTGAAGTCATTCGGGAAATCCAACAATACCAAGCTGTGCCTTACCATTTGACTCCTGTGCAAGAGATTCAGATCTTTATAAAAAGCCATCTTCAAGATAGTCGTGATGTAGGTGATCTCTATGCTCTGTCTCTGAGCATGGAGCCAAGGTAACTAAGGAATGCTTCCTTTTGTTGGTACATATCTGTCAATTTATATGTTATAAGCGAGAATCCGGTATTGAGATTCTTTGTTTAATAAATATAGAGAACGTGAAGATGAGAAGATTGCAAGACTGTTGCAAGAATCTGGATTTCTGTAACTCATCGAAAGACATGTAATAGAACACATGTCCTCCTGTATCTGAAAAAAAAGGTGTACTTCGTTTCTATGCATCAAAAATTATCTAAAATATACTTATTCGATCACTCTGTGTTCTAGATGTACATTAATTAAATTCTTATACAATATTAACACGAATAACATTTATATTCGATTTCTACTCTTAAAATTCACTTTATTCTTATTTTAATTCGAATATGAAGCTCTTTTCTTCATTCTCCTGTAAATTATTACGGTACTTGGAATAAAATTCTCATGTACTGAGAGTCGCCTCTATAACCCCCATTGTATAACCAGCTGGGTACACAACCCTGTGTAATATTAAACATAAATGTGCTTTGTCAAAATGTCTTGTTTGTCATAATAAGTAGCATGGACGGTTATGTGCCAATATTAATATTCGAATTTATCTCGTGGTTTGAAACGTTCAACTTGAAGTGAAGTAGTAAAGCGGTTAGGTACTGTGTAAAGCAAGTCGTTTCAACTAGTGAAATAAAGACGGTTTGTTTTTGAAACTTTGCATCGCTGTAAGAAAAGTATCGAATACTATTAATAGTACACACTCTACAACAGTAGTTATATTATTGCCGTTGTTACTGTTCGTTGTCTATCTTAAACCCGAAAACACAAATATCGCCAAGTATATCGTTCTCAAACAACACCCCCCAAATATCCTCCTCATGACCTGAATGGGACACAATGGCACCTATATGTATAAATACACAAACAATGGCTTTGAGTAGAGGGTGAGCAGGTCTTCACTACTTGTCCATTCTTCTATGAGAAAACATTCTAAACACTCATTCGTTTTGCTAAATTTAAAGCCGCTGTAAAAGCACCGCCAAATATAATCAACGAGAGCAAGAATCTCAAGATTAACATCACATATAGACAATCGAACACAATCTACCGAAAACATCAACCACACACCACCTAAACGTCAATCCATGGGTAGTAACACTGCTAACACAGGTTTGGGCAGAGCGACTAATTCCAAAAAGGAAAAGTTAACGTCCAAGTATAACACAGAACCCAGATTGATTAATATTATGAATAGTACTATCAACACCGAATTGAGCGGCATAACGATCATCTCCAAGAAGAAGAAGAAGAACTTTGATTACAATGAAAGAGAACCCGATCTGCCAATTGTGAAGAATAGCAATATTCCCAACATTAGCTTTGGTAGTGAAGCGACTATTTCTCAAAACAAAAGAAAGTTCAAGGACAATGAAGAAAATAGACCTGGTCCATCGAACATGACAAGTAACATTGCAAATATCAAACATGGCGGTAGGAGAGGGGCTGCTTTTGAGAATTCAAAGAATAATGGAGCAAGCAAACCCGGTCCATCAAGTAATCCTGTCGTTCGATTAGACAGCAAGGCAACTGCTTTTGAAAAGCAAAAGAAAAAGTCCAACATTGGCAAAGAACCCAGACCAACCGATAGCATGTATATCAATGTTACAAAATTGGGCAGTAATGCAACTCTTGCAAAAAAAACCAATAATGACCAAAAAAATAAACTGGCCAATATTAGTAATCTCCCTAATAAGAAACCTGGTGGTAAAGCTACTAAACCTGTCAATAAGAGACAGCAGAAATCCAAGAATGGCGGGAAAAGGACAAACAAGAAAAAAACTGCGAATGATAAAGAAAATAAAGAACCCAGGAAAAAACTGGAAAAGGTCAAGGAGAAGAAGAAGAAGAAGAAGGAAGACGATAGTTATAGAGAAAAGTTAAATATGGATATTGCCATTCTTGAACAATTACGGAATCTTGTTACGGTATGCTATATTGAGGGGGGGCATTATTAGACATATTTATTGGATATTATCAAATATTTATCGCCGCCAACTATAACGTCTTTCCACCATTCAATTTTACAGGAATCAGACCTGTGTGACTATCCATTAGCAAAAATGATTCGTCTAGAATCCATTGCTCGTCCATACCATATGACACCTCCCCTCTGCATCTTGATAGATCTTCATGGCTGCAATCGCGTCAAAGCCCAATGTCTCCTGACTGCCTTTCAAAGTCTCGAGCCCTTATTGAAATATACTCCCAGAGTCAGATTCGTCACCGGAACAGCCTCAACGAGAGAACATCCAGCAGTGCTACGGCCGCTTGTAGGAAAGTTTTTAAATCAAGCTTTTCCGTCGCGACAAAAGTGGGAGTCTGCCGCATTTATTGATCTCGAAATTTTGGGAGATGGGCCAAGTAAGAGCGAAAAGAAGAATGAGAAAACGCATAAAGCTAAAGGAAAGGCTCGAGTACAGAACAATGACAAGAGTAACGATATGGGTACTAGCAGCAAGAACAAAGAACCAAGTGTCTTCAAGCCACAGAGTGAAAAGACAAGTACACAATCGGCGATGGATACTGAAGATGATAAGCGAGACAATGTCAAAAAGAATCTTAAAAAGTTTGCAATGTTGGTTCGTCGTATATGCAAGTCTGCACTAAAGTTGTGATGGACAGTGTTAAACTCAAAGTCACTCTTTTAAATAAATTATTGCATGACAAAAGAGAGATACATTCTTTGCGCATACCACTCTTGGTGTTCCATTTGCGTAGTAAATTATTGATGATTGTATATATTCTCCAAAGCGCTACTTTTAGTGTGGTATCACGGGTCAATTTACTCATACGTACGTAACATGCACGACGGTTAATGCTTCCCACTCTTGGTCAAATGAAAATGTCCAGATTGACAGTTGATATTAACAATTCCCATCAATCGGGTATTATTGCTATTCGGATGAATTCGTTTCAGGACTTGTAAATCTTTATAATAGTACATATACTCGGTGATAGCACGGGACATTGATCGGGTACAGCTTATTTTAGCTTTCGCTAAATGCCGAATTTTTGTTAACTTTATTCTTAATTCATGACCCATTATCGTATCTACAATCAGTTTTCTTACTATTGGTTATTACATCTGTCGTTGGACGGGTACGGCGAGTACCGCTTCTATATTTGTGAGTGTTCGTCCTCTTTAGCAGAGCCACAACAGCCTATGAATTAAAAAGAAGCTGCGGCGAAGATACTTGTTAAAGTTTACAAAGTAGAATGTAAATGAATTTAAATGGTTACTTTTTTCTTTTCTTTTCTTTTATTACTCCCATGTGCTCTTCAAGAAAATAATCCACCACAGATTGTTTTAAATTGAAAATGCAATACATCGCACACAACTGATTTTACTTGTTCGTTATCAAGCTGTGGCACATATGATACTATACTATCCTCGAATGACTTTTTGTTTCTTTAGCAAGTTGAGCGTATTACAGAAATCTAATTTGGACCAAGGCGCTATATGATGTCATATTTCGTAAAAATGTGGATGATCGTTCGTAACGAGCAGAGTTATCTATATCAATGAAGTCGCAGTCGAGCGGCAGAATCATATATCAATGAAGACATATTAGTAATTGAATGAATAAGGCAGTGTTTATGATAAAGGCGCTGACTAAACGCACTTTCAATATGTACGAGTTGGAGAATTTTGAAGGCATACCAGTTAGTTAACAACATATTATTGTCACTCGCTTTCGCAAATCTAAATATTGAGGCTTTCGATTACAATCCAAAGATAAAAATGTGCTGCAAGGAAGAACAAAAGTATAAGAATTCGTACTACAAGTACATTCCTTCGATCTATTACTGTATGTCGTTGTAGTTGGAAAGAATTTCTTTCCAGAAAGAGAACATGTTTCGTGAACACATACTTTGCCTAGAGTTATATTTTATTTCTAGAATCCGATCGGTCATTTTGTGTCACCTAAATTAAAATGCAGTACGACTTAAACAGGCTTTGCGAGACAAAGCGAAAGGTCCATAGTAATAATTCACACATCTAATGTGCTGCGATCTCAGCTGCGAACGAGAGATGGTCAAGTTGGATGATGACAAATACTAAATTATTGACAGGCAGGAGACATAGCCTTAAATTATACTTGTATGCCCGAAGCCAAATCTCATTGAATTTGTCGAACTTGCATATGCTCGTTGATTGTTACACCTCGTAAACGCTGGCCGAGAGTTTAATTAGACTTTTCAGATTCAGAATTCATGAAAACCGGGAAATTTGGGTTTGTAAGCAATCCCTCCCTATTTTTAGTATCCTTTGTGCGCCAAATAGCCCTTATCGGCATCAATCTCAAATTCCTGCAGCCACAAAACGTGAGCGTGTAACGGTTTGCCACATTATTAATCCTATCAAACCAATGAGACCTAGCCACTATTTGTGGCTATCGGTGATACAAATTTATTGTTTGTTACCAAAATAATTTTAGCACAATTTGTATTACACGAGATTGTGGCACAAAAAATTGAAAATTCTGACTAATACACCAACGCGTTGACTATCGACGAGCGAGTCCAAAAACCTGCTTTTTTATCTCACATGTGCGCAATTACATTAATTGCCTTTAATAGATATACGCTCTGGCTATGCGTGACGTTGACAAGCACATCAAATAACTTAAACAACGTGGCCGTGTTGCAGCAAATGAACCAATGCAGAGCATTGTAACAAAGATGGGGATCAAACATCGGAGATTAACGTGCTAGTGTTATGGTATCATCTAGCATATCTGTTGGAATTTTCGTTTCGGGAAATCAAGGAATACGCAATACAAGGGGGCCAATATGAGAACAATTCAATGGTAGAAATTAGGAAGACAATATTACAAAGAAAGGATTTTACAAAATAAATAGGGGACAGCGTGTCACTGTATTAATTAAATGCAGACATGAAGTTAACTTATATAAGCAATAACGGATAATATAAAAATTACAATGTATGTTGCAGTTTTTTTATGATTAATCAGTTATTCAATTACTAATTTGATATTCGATAGACTATATTCAAAATCTCATTGCACATTGTTCGGCCATGTAAATTTGAACGGGTCTAAAAAGGTTTGTTACATAAACAGTCTTATAAACTGATACTAATTCATACACTACCAACCTTGTCCGCGGCGGGTAAACAATCTTCATCGCTGATTCTTGTGCGTGCCAACTATTTGTGTTACGTTGTTTAAAATGCATATCTGTATGTTGTACACAGTGTGGCGAATTTACCACATACATTCAACTGAACCGAGATTGCATTTCTTGTGTATCACTCAATTTGTAAGCAAGAGTGGCGAGTGTTTCTAGTCGAGTAATTGAACATTTGATGGAACGAGTGTATAATGAAACCTCACCGAGTCTTTAAAAATGAGATCGTAAAGTACTGCAAGATACGTAACGCAAGTTATAATGGTAATTAGGACACTCGTTCGAGTGTAATGCCTTGCGGAATTATACTGTCTTGGTTTGCCGTTTTACTTGCTTTTTGCTGTTATGTTTAAAAGTAATAATCGACCAAAAATCGACCAAAAATGGGGTTCTGACGAAATAATAAGTTTATTTACAGATTTCAATTTAAGTTTTCTTACATTCTTTGTTTAGTCACTGCCGAGTATTCTTAAATATTTATATTGCATTTTGGTGTAACGGAATTTCTGAGATATAAACGGAACGTTCTCTCAAATCTCCACATCAACAAACCAAGTGTCTAAATCAGTGAACAATTATTTAATAGCAATTACAAAAAAATACCAGCAATTAATTACACCAGTGCATAATAAATACGTCTAGTACATTTCAGAAAACATGTCAACAAACACCTTTTCCTCAACCGGTCAGGAAACTTCTCCTACCACCACTTCTCCTCGACCCTTTATTTTCATAGACAATAGTGACCCAATACATCCAAACCAAGTCATTAAACATTCAGAGTCAACTCCAATTATCAAACTCCCATTCCCGCCACTCATCGATCCCCACGATATAATAGTGAAGAAATCACGCGGACAAACTACTCCAACTAAACCGCCAAACGCATTTATCATATACCGTCGCAAATTCGTAGAAACCGCTCATTCGGTCGGATATAAAATTCCAATGACTGTCGTATCTACAATGGCATCGCAGAGCTGGGATCTCGAACCAACGAACGTAAAGAACGAGTACAAGAGAATTGCCAAAGAAGCAAAGGATTTATACTACAGTCTGTATCCAAAAGCTACTCCCGCCAAGGCACCAAAAAGATGGAGAGCCTTTCTCAAGGGTGAAGGAAAGTTTGGAAGAGGGGAAAAAAATAACAGCGTCGATTCCAATTTCAGCGACAATAGCAATGGCAACAATAATGTCAACAACTATAATCATGTAGAGTATGTAAGCTCTTCTTTACCACCGTCACCCTCCACAACTCCTATTGCTACTCCGTTGCCTTCTACCGATTTTTCTTTAATCAACATTTCTCCCAACACATTTTCCGAGTTTAACTATCCTCCAAGCTCTCAATTTGACATCTTTGGTCTTTCATGTCTCCCATCATATCCTGACATTTCAATAGCACCCGATTCCATTAATAATATTGGAATCTCGCCGGTTACAAGCTTCATGTCTCCTGACGAAACCCCGGATTTGTATGTTCCAGATATAAGCGATAATACGACCTATACTAGTATGGCTAACTGCGAAAATATCAATTTGGGGTGCGAAGATGTAGGAGATACAATGCAATTGTTATTGCTTCTAGATGAAATGTTACCTATACAAGTTACAAACCAGGACGGTTATGAGAGAGAAATTGGTGGAGTGTATTTTTGAGTTTTTATTCCAAAAAAAAGAAAAGAAAAGAAAGGCAAAGTAGGAAAATTGATACAGTGGCGAGGGATAGAGAGAGAGAGAGAGAGAGAGAGAGAGAGAGAGAGAAAAGGTACCGTTATACTATTGTGTGTATATATATATTATACGGCTATACTGTCTGTACTGTTTATAATGTCTATATATTAGTTATATCCATCTACATATATATAATCAAGATTATCAGTAAATGTAAACTTGGCTGTGCCGGTTTTAAGCATGTCTTTTCACTCAACATATTAAAATTAAAGCTGCGAGATTTATTCACATAATCATGTCCTCCGATTGTAATTCTTGCAACGAGTATGATTATGTAGCTCGGATGTATGGATAGTAAAATAATAAAGTAAAGTAAAGTAAAGTAAACCAAGCAACCCAGTAGAGAAATAGGAAATTTAAGGTAAATTATGAACAACGAATAAAGAATATGAGCATGACGTTATAGGAAATAAAAAGATGAAATTAAGCCAATTTTTGAGAGATTTATCGGTTTGTGCAATGTGAAATAGTAATGGGAATTGTTCCCTCATCTAGGAAATTAGCCATATACGTATCGATACTATGAATTTGAATTTGCATATAACCTTAATCTAAATGGTATAAGGGATTTAACGGTAATCTAGGAGTTTTGTGAACAGTTTTGAATGTCTCTAAATAAATTAATTTCAGTGGTGGAATAGTCATATAGTTATTACAAAAAGACTGTCGTATATCGATTGTAAAAAAGAAAACGTTAGCCATTGCACACATTGCACACCCCTTGCACAGCACCGATTTGCAGTCCTGATTGGTCCATCAGCCACACTTACTAATCTAATTCCACCATTCAGTGGATATACCTTTACCCGACCTATAGAATTTTCTATTGATATATCCCACATGACCATGCTATTAAAGGCAATTGCAGCGGCACAGATAACAAAAGTGAGCAGACAAAGACACAAAGTGCGGGGTAAATGCATAATTCTAGATCAAAATCTATTTATTGCTCATTATTTCGGCTGTTTAAAAGAAATTGCAATAACAATATCGAAACACAATTACAAGAAATGCATGGAATTTCTAGTTTGTGTCAGCTATAAAAAAAGATAAGCAGCAATAGAAACCTGCTTTTGTCAAAAGAAGTTTAGGCTGTCCGTGTCGGGTAAACACGATTATCAACTATGAGCGATGATTACTATTAATATTTAAAAGCAAACGAAAAATCTGACAAAGCAGCATAAAAGATTTCGGGAACTCTTTAAACAATGAGGCTTGGTTGATAAACCTTCTTGACGCCATTTTGCATATTCTGTAACAAGCGTCACAATATTGTGCTCGTGTTGAGTGGGGTTCAAAATAAGTGCAATAAGATGTCGACTAATTTGTCAATCACGACACGGTCGCCATTCAACAAAGGATTGTTATAATTCAGTTGGATTCTTACGAGTTCGCGAATTCCAATTAAACGGTATTCAGAGTTTCTCGACAAGGAGTCAGAAAAAAGCTTGTTATAGGCAAAAAGGCAGTTTGATTTTATTAAACAATTGAATCGTAAGATGAAAAAGTAGCACCTATTTATGATAGTCGTTATATGCAGGGTTGTTTGAAAGAGTATACGAGCTATCCCCATACATAATAACCATTAAACTTGTTTCGTTCCAGATGCCAAAATTACAACGATGATGTTGAGCTTCCTATGAAATACCAAGGTAAGAACTGCCCCTTGCGTTTTATAATTTCAGGTGATACGTAGATATGAACAATGGTCTCGCAATCTATAAAAATATATAACCATATTTCAATCGTAACCAATTAGATTTACCCATCAATTTGTCCACCCCAACACGTTTTTTAATAAATGGTAATTAGAGGTTTGGGACATAATATCCGAATGGAAGATCGGAATTGTATTTCTCTAATATTAATGGGCTTTCCCCAACAGAGAGTGTGTGTTTTCTTTTCCATTACGTTTAATGCTGTCGCTGTAACCGTATACGCGTTAATACTCCATTCTCATAAAACGCAAATTGGTAGTTGGGTCACCAGTCGCTTTTGAATGTTGCTATCAACAGTTGACAAGTTCATTGTAATTCTACCTATCAAATTATATCCTTTACTATTCGATGTGTTCGCTTTCAATTAATTTCGTTTTTCTCCAAGACCTGGCGAAGCAATAATGGGCCGTTGACATCATACTCGGTATACCCAATTCCTTTTGGGGTATGATCACGTGTTCTTCAAACAACGATATGAATCCCCACACTCCGCTTCTCTGCACTGCGTAGTAATTGTAGTTATGCCAGAACCTAATAATCCTCGCTACTCGGTCGCAACAACTCAGTCACACGCTGAGATTGTTGGGTCGCAGTCGCCCTTGAAATTTCCGTCACCTCGATTGTCTGCTCCGCCTTCCATAGCGAATTTTGACTTTGAAGAAGCCAACAATGCAGACCGACTGGTTCTTAGTAAATTTATTCTGTATGAAACAAAAGCAGTAGGCATCCCAATTATCGAAACCGTTATCTACACAATGCGTGCTTGCGATTTTTCAATGTCTTTGCAAAATACTAACCCAATTTTCCATATAATGCGTAGTACTATTACATGGTGGGATGCAATCAAACCGACACGCGTTTTCGAATATTAAAGATTGATCGCACCTCCGTTTCCGAACTTAACGTTATAGAAGATGATGCAATATACTCCAAACAAGAGATCAATGACATTTTAACAGGTCTCGGAGAAGGAAATAGAGTCACCGGAGGTCTGAATAAGGTATTGGAGGCGTATGGAATAGTAGGTATGTCGCCTGCAATCGTTCAGCAATCTTTCGTTTATCAGGCTAACTATTGATCGAATTGGCTAGGATTTGTCAGATTCACGGAAGGTTTTTACATGTCCTTAATTATGAAAAGAAGTCCGGCAGCCTTGATTGGTGGTCATTACATATATAATATTGACGAAACAAAGCTGCTGGGCATAAATTCACAGAGTAAACCCGAGAAGAATAGCGAAGAGCAAAGGTAAATATATGTGTTGGGTTGTATCCGTATTTCATAATAACAGCAGGTTGGTCCATTTCTAATAAACAATCATTTTCCAGATACATTTCTACATTTCAGAATGTAGATCTCGCCAAGAACTTTTACTTTAGCTATACGTACGACATTACTCATACACTCCAGCATAACATGACACGTCCTCCGGATCGTCGTAACTTTTCATACAACGAGATGTTTGTATGGAATCATTACCTGCTCGAGACTGGATTCAGAAGCTTAAAAAATCACTCCGATTGGATATTACCTGTAATCTACGGCTTTGTAACACAGTCGAGTAAGTAAATATGAGAATAAATTGTCGAGGCGATGTGCATACTTTCCTCTGACACATTTGCTTGATACTAGAGATCTCGGTTTATGGGCGTAACATTTTTTTAACACTCATCGCGAGGCGGTCTCGTTACTATGCTGGTGCGCGATTTCGTAAGAGGGGAACAAATGATCAGGTGAGCTACTGGCTTTTGTGCCTATTCAATTCGTAGCCATACTGACTCGGTGTTTTCATTTGCCGATAGGGTTACGTTGCAAACGATGTTGAAAGCGAGCAAATCGTAGCAGAGATGTCGACGACTTCATTCCATTTCTCTGGAAACAAGCTGTTTGATAATCCAAATTATTCTTCGTATGTCCAACATCGTGGATCAATACCGCTTTTTTGGTCGCAAGATATTACGAATATGGTTCCAAAGCCGCCAATATCAAGTACGTGTGGATTTTTATACGCTAACAATCATGCAAGCATAGTATTGACTAATGAGAAACATTATTCTCAAACTAGTCAATTTCCGAGATCCATTCTTCTCGGCTGCTGCATTACATTTTGACAACATGTTCAAAAGATACGGTGCACCGATAATAGTGTTGAATCTAATCAAGGTAAATACTCGGCATTAAATTGACGTCAGGTCTCAATAAACTGAACCTTTTTTCTACATTCCTACTGACAGATGAAAGAAAAGACTCCGCGCGAATCAATCTTGGGTGATGAATTTGCTGCAACTATCGAATATCTGAACCAATTTCTGCCTCCAAACTGTCTTAAATATGTTGCGTGGGACATGTCTAAAGCAAAGAAGAGGTTAGTTAGATTTGCATTCATAAATAAACTTGTTGATTCGAGAAATCCTGACTGTATCATTTATTTCGATGTTTACGAATAGCGATGAGGACGTAGTCCGTGCCTTGGAAAAGTTTAACGAAGAATTCATTGCTGACACTGGATTCTTTCACAGTGGTCCAGAGCCATCTATAAATGTGTTGAGAAGAGAAGAAAAGTAAGTAAAGTATCATATCTATGGATTAACAATCAAACTCAGTAATATAATATAATAAGGCTGTCGTACATACGCATATCACAGAGAGGGCAAGCCGCAAACCCGTCGTCGTCATTTCCGGCAGAACGGTGTAATTCGCACAAATTGTATTGACTGTCTTGATCGCACAAACGCAGCCCAGCTTATTATTGGCAAATGTGCCTTGGCGCATCAGGTAATATTACTATCAATGAATCATATATCCAACCTTATATGTGTATGCATACTTGATACTTTTATGTATTTTGTATTAACCTGTTTCGAACTTTCTATTTCCGTCTCATATAAGCTTTACGCTCTCGGTATAATTGACACACCGTCTATTCCATATGACTCTGATGTGGTCAATATGTTGACAGAGATGTATCATGTACAGGGAGACACTATAGCTTTACAGTATGGTGGATCAAACTTGGTGAGTACTATGGATGCATACAGGAAAATCAATGCTTGGTCAAACCAATCGAGGGACGTTATTGAAAGTATAAAACGATACTACAATAACGCTTTTACCGGTAAGTACAGTTTATTTTATTTTGTTTTTGTGGAAGCCAACCTTTTTGTTTGTGGAATAATTTCTTGGTCAAAAGCCACAGACACTCGATTTACAACACATGTGTCTTTTCTGTAACTTATAATTTACCTTATTATTATTATTATTATTAAGATGCTGAGAAACAAGATGCTATAAATGTCTTTTTGGGTAACTTTGTTCCGCAGAAAGGCAAGCCGTCTCTATGGGAACTTGAAAGTGACTTTACATTGCACTTTGAAGATCCTAGGTTTAGGAGACCAAGAAGGAGGTAATGCAAAGTTCTAATACATACTCTTTTTAAAATCCGACCACATGCTCAATCAATGCTACTACTCTTACATTTAGTTATATTAATTGGTGGACAAAAGACGCTCTCGTACTCAATGAAGGCAAAGAAGATGGACTGTCGCAACATCAAACAATTCCGCGTAGAGCCCCTCAATACGAAGATGAAAATGATCCGTATTGTGGATATTGGATTGAACACTATAAACCGAGCGAACTCACGTCGTTTTCTAAACTTTTTGCGTACAATATTAATAGCACAGCTCCAGCCAAGTATGTAATCAATTTACGTAAGAAAATGGCATGCTATTTCATAGACGATCTGTATGTTAATTCATATCCCTCTTTTGCATAGGGTACCCAACGAAAATTATGACTACAGTCCATTCACAGTAAGGCAAGCACAGCAAAATAGATTGTACATCCGTGGGGTAAGAAATTGGTTCGCTGTACCTACTACGCCACCACAAGAGCAAGCATCAAACGAGAAGGATAAGGAGAAAGAGAAAACGAAGAAAGAAAAAGATGTTCCAGTATACGATTCGATGGTAACCAAAAGCCTTAATCCGAACGTATCAACGACCGAGGAAAAAGAATATAAACGGTAAAGCGATGTCTAACACAGTTAATCTAATCATGGTTTGTCTCTTGGTTCTTAGAAAATACTAACGGACAAATTGTTGCCATCTCAGATACATTAAGCAATTTCGGAATGTTGCATTAGCATCAACGCCAACTGGAGATGATGATCCCTCTCTTATCAACCATTCCGATTATCACAATTATTTCAGCTATGCACACATTGCTGATGGTGTCGATCCAACTAGAGATTTGCATGTTCACTCCTACGATTACCAAGTTTACCATACACACAAAGAACTGCCAACAAAGGTGGCGGTGATGCAAACAGTTGGTGCTAATCAGTATCACAGCAATAGCACGACGAAGAATAGGTATAAAGACTATGAGAGTTGGCTAAAGACGGGCAGACTCGTCAGCGCTAATGGAAAGGGAAGAAATCGAGGCGATAACGCGAGTAAGAAAGGCAGTCATCGGGATAAAAACAAGAATCATGACAAGGATATTTAATCACTTATTGTTAAAGATGCAAGTAGAAAGTCGAGATCACATAATTTAATGTAAAATCTTTAGAGGCGACTCGCTTATATAGAGAATAATAATTAGATGTAAATGTATTATTACTGTAAACTGGAGTGTAATTCGGGAATAAACTTGGAAACGCATAATCCTTTTGTACGTGTTCTTTAACTTTGCTGGATCGTGCGATTGATTATGTCGGTCAATTCAGAGCAGAGGTACAACGACCTTGTCAAATAGCCGATCATACGATCCAATGGATAGAAGCGAGAAGCCTTCACATAACGACAATTATAGACATTCGTAGATATCATGATTCTTGTAATTTGTGAGACGATTAGTAATGAGACAAGTACATTTGAATAAATTAAGGGTCATAAATAATGTTGTATTTTATAATTGATATTCGCCATAGTGGTAAAATAATAATAATAATAATAATAATAATATAATAACTATATACACATACACCATGGAAGGAGATGAATGACACTTAATATTAACCAAAAGAAATCATATTGTTCAACACGTTCAAGTCTGACATTTTGTGTAAGAAAACTCTAATAAATAGTTTCCCATGGCAAATAACATATGATTGACAGAATTATTGAATCATCGAATACTCGTAATAATGTTTCTTGGTATTTTTCCTCGTATTTCCGGTTCAATAATCACAAGGCTGATAACCATGTAATGTATTTATTACGGATCTTCTGCTAATAAATATGTGTCTGACGAAACACTGTTCCTTCGTGAATCGTTTTGATCTTCTGTCTGTGGATAAGGCTGTGGTGTATCTGGAGCAGTGGACCGTGCAGGGAATTGATCTACGGAAGAGTAAGATGGAGGAGGAAGGTGAATGTCTGCCAAGGAAATATCCAACGCAGCCTCCGAAAGCAGATCGTTGGAACGTCCAATGTCGACATTCGTATTTACAATACGAGAAATATTTATGGATGGACAACTTCTCGAGCCTGACGCTACTAGAATCGAGTCTCTTTCAGAACCATAAGCAGGAGGTGGAGCCAGTGTTCCCATCGTTGGCGCAAGCCCCCACTTTTTTACATTCGCTTCAATAAACACAAAGCCCAATTGTCCAAAATTGACATGCACACAGCAGGGACCGTTTGCACCGACAGTGGGAAACAGATTCATCTTCATTCCCGTAAATGCGTCATCCAATTTTTTACCATTACGTGTGAAAAAAATGGTGCCAGTCCTCGGGCGATACCCGACACCAACTACGTCCCCCTGATGAAATTGTGGACCATAAGCTTTTCCGTTGAATGGCGAGTTGAAGAACTTGAAACCGCTATCCGAGAAATATGCAATAGATTGTCTATTCCAGCCTGATTGGGAAATTAGGTAATAGTCAGTATATCAAAGATCGTATCCGCTTAACAGACATGTCGAACGTCCATAACGCCTACAATTGCGATTACCAATACTAATTCTCATTTTTCTCAGGAAAACTGAAACACTTTCATCGTTTCAGATCACTAGTCGAGCAAATCCTTACCTGGAAGTCGAAAGGTTGGATAAGGCTTTGTAGCAAGACCAACGGCTACTGTTGTAGACGGTGATTTTTCATACATCTTGGCTTCCCAATAATATATTTCTTGCTGTTTGGGCAAGGGCAGGTTTGTTTGAACGCAACATTCACTATCATAAAACGATATTTCCGTTCGGCATTCGACAAACGAACTTGTATTATGAAGATCGGGTTCAAATTCCCATGCCGAGACACCTTTCTCTTGAATAGAGAGGAGTTGAGTGAAAGTTATATCTGTTGGTACGCTATCAGGTGGGTAAGCTTCCTGAAATACTTTGTTGAGTGAAATAAACCGACATGGAAAAAAAACAAGGTTAAAATTTGCAGAGCCATATACAGATGCCAAGTTTGTTTTGCAAGGAAAAAGAAAAAGACAACTGATTGACAGGTAACTCTTTCTTCTTACCTCGCGCACGCTCATAATTTTGACGAGCTGCTTCGTCCAAAGTCTCAACAAGACTAGCCTCCGCCTCCGCTAACTCGGGATCACTAAAGTCGGGAATACGATTCTTGTCCAAGGCAGCCAAGCGACGACGGAGGCAGCCCCAAATAACAAAACTAGCGATTAGTACAAAGAAGCCGAGAGTTCCGAGAAGCGCAATGTTCTTTGCTTCTGAATCTTCAGATTTATGGCTTTCCTGAAAGTCATAATTCTCCATAATGGGTAGAGGAGATAGCCGAGGCGATGAGGAAAATCTCAGCGGTGTTTGTGGTTTGAAAGGCTCGGTGTGTGACTGAGTAATATGCTTTAATATTTCTTTTACTCTTTGAGCGGCTGATTCTGACATAGGTCAGAGTTCCTTGTCAGTAAAAAGTGACTAACCATAGCATATCATTCTGGAGAGCACGTGAAACCATATGGTGTGATAATAGATGAAATCTGAAACTGATGGATATTAAATTGTTTCATTTTATAATGTCTAATGTTGGAAAAAGGTGCTAAATTACATAATGGTTTTGATGTATTTATTATTACAACCTTTCATAAAAATGATCAATTCATCTCATTGATTTGTAATGTTTCCAACAGCACCAGAGGATAAATCAAAGATTATTGCTATTCATTGCACGTTCAAATTTCCAAAACCAGCATTTAGCTACATTCTTTTTATTTGTTTGTTTGCACGACGATATTATTGTGTCGATTGTAGAACTCGACTCTACAGTTTACTATTTATTATGCTTAAGATATCAAAATTATTATTCACACGAGGCTGACATATCCTGCAGTGAAGAGAAAAGTTAATGTGCCTTGATCACTAGTTGAAGAATAACTGGACATTTTCAAGCCAGATTACCAATCTTGGAAGCATTGGTTTTTTTGCTTCGGAAGCTATTTTAGAATATTAATCAAAAGGAGTATCAATAAGAAAAAAATCTAATAAGCATATTTTATTCTATAACTAGTGGATAGAAGACCCCTTTTTTGGCTTCCTGTTTGACTTTAGTCCCGAGCCGTTTGATTTTTTTATACGCGTTGACAACAGACACGTATTAATCAACGTATTGGTATAATAACAGAAGCATACATAGGACACTAGCTTTTCGTGTATTTAATCTCCGTCAGAATTTGTGGGAATGTTGGGAATGTTGGGAATGTTTATAAAAGATTTGCTAGTAAAACGACGAAGAAATATATCGTACGTTTGGTCTAAGATCTATTGCATCCGGTAAGGAAGATATAAATTATGTTGCAGAACAAAAAGTCGATATATTAAAATAAGGTCAACTTATAATATTAACATTCAATTAAATACTTAAGCGGTACGTTGAAAACGTGACCAAGGCCAAATCATAAAATAAAATTCGTGCAAGCAAATAAATGTGATTGTAAACCGATTAATTGTCATTTACTGCATTGGAAGAACTCGTCGCCTCTAGATCAAATTATTTGAGCTCGTTCGTTGAGACTGTTTGTTACACTTTCTTAATACTAATACATTCTTTGTATTTGTGGCAGATTGCAGACAAAGTGAACTGTGTAGCTGAAAAAGCTTTGATTTAGTAACACAGCTGTGGCTCATGCTCATCCAGGACTAGATTTAAATTTTTGTCGTTTAAATTGATAAAGTAAATAAGTAAATACAGAAAGACCTCTCTAAATGAACCCATCAATGTACTCACGTGACCTATATATTTAATTGACCAATTATATTATTAATACGCTCTTTGTAAATCGAAATCATTCTCGTTGTTAACAACGGTCATTGTTCATGGTTGCTGTTGTTGTTGTTAGTTAGTCTTTATCAATATTTGCATCTTAGAATATTAATAGAAACATATGTTATCGTTGTTATTACATTATTATTATTTTCGCAGAGTTGATTTACTGTATATTTTATATAAAATGGCATTGTAAAGGACGGTCAATAAGCTTTATTAACATTTGATATATATGATATTACATTATAAATCCCGCATCCTTATGAATTATCATAATCTTGCCGATTTAACTTTTCCTGCGGTAGTTTATGAATTTTGGTGAAAGCTCTTCAGGTACTTCATGTTTAGATACACCTTGGTTTTTTTATGAGAGCGTTTATCATTCTTCTGACCAGTATACAAGATGTTTTGAACAAAAAATAAACTGTTACTAATAAGCTTGTAGCCATTACATTCAAGTCAAACAAAAACAAATCTACACCGTAAATCAACGTAGTGTTGTACGAGCGGTGTTGTTATTGTTGTTATTAGGTACAATCGTCTTATTAAGAACGTTGCTGGGATTTCATCGATAGTGTTCGTACAACTGGTTAAGCTCTCGACGCTGTAACTCGAAGAGATTATCAGACTGAATATCTACCATTAGAGAAGACATTAGAGATCATAGTGAACATTTCCAATCGTAAGTTTATAAGTTGTTTTCTTCCACTATAAGAGTTATTCCATTATTCCGTTGGAGTCTTATAGAGGAAAGGTGCAGGAACTGCTCGACCTTTGGTTGTTTATATATCTAAATTGTTACTGTGGTATAGCTAAAATATTGATTTACGTCAGATATTTACATATTTTACATTTAAGTGATCATCTGACGTACCAATAATATTAATATTAATCGTAAATAAATGCTACTATTAAATTCGCCGTATAACAATAGTAAGTACGTAATAAAATAACATTTGCAACATCTCAAAAGTCCAATCCCAGATTCCATAAATCTCCGTTTGTTTGAAAAAACGAGATAAACCCTAGTTTTCATTCCAATAATCTGATAACATGGTATGAATGTAGAAATCATTCTTGTTTGTAAACTCTTGTGAGCGAGGGTTTCTTCCACATGAGATTCTCAAGTTTCTTATGTTGCGATTTTGCAACTTTAATTATTTCGATAAAGTTTGTGATTGTTTATAATGACTGTCGTTATGCATTGACCCGCTATTTTCACCGGTGCCTGATTCATGAGATGAACTCTGCACGCAAAATCTGTATTAAAATTAATTTATTGATTTTCGGAATAAAATAACATACCCAAATCGCATGCTTTGCCGACGCGACTGGTTTGAGAACGGTCCGTCTTGTCCTCACGACCGAGGTAATAATACTGAAAAAAAGTACTTATTACAGAAACATAGCAAATTTAAGAAAGCAGCTAAATCTAGTCCATGGACGAACATGAGCCACAGCCGTGCCACTAAATAAAAGAATTATCAGTTACATTGGTTAATGCGTTCTATACTATGTGGCTGTGTACTATCGAATTGGTGTTTACTTCAAGAATCTTATCCTAGGTATTAAAACTAAGAAAATTTTGATTATACACATACTCAAAATTGTCTAATTATAATAAGAATGTAACCTGTAAGTTATTAAGATAGTGAAATTTTAATATATTTTTATTTTCTTGTCAACAAAGTACACTTCATTTATTTAGCATTATTACAACGAGAGTATGTTGGACCTCCACGCCTCTTAAGATGTCTAGGCACATAGTATCAGTTGATTGCTTATAGGTTTGTCCGAGGGATGTTTTTCATCCTACTTCTAATGCTACATAAGATTCGTGCTATTTGCGGGATTCAAATTTCGTTTTTGTAGTTTGTTCTATGAATTAAACAGACGGAGCCTGAATTCATTAATATTAAAAGAAAATTTCTTGTAGTAAACATCAACTTTATTCAAGCTTTTGTAGATACAAATCAGCAGACCCTTTTAACAGTTATTCGTTGATTACATCAATTTCCTTTGATGACTTTTATCAAAGCAAACCAGTTCGGATTGGCACTATGTGTAACAAAAATTGTCTTGAATTGTAGACTTAATTAACTTGATATCTTACGCATTGAATGGCCCTTCTTCGAAAGAGTCAAATGCCATTTGTTTACAGCATTGAGGGAGTTAACAGTCAAAATAATGAATAGCTAATAGCACTTGTATAAACTGTAAATTACAAGTTTATTCAAAAAGAGTTTGAGTCACAGTCACTAAATTATAATAAGATAATGACGATGTTAATATTGTAATTTGACTTCGTTCTATCAACACATAGTCAATTCTTGTCTTTATACCTGCAGCTGAATCCAAATCATAACTATTTCTTGGTTTAGGTAAATCTCCTGTAGGTAAGAGTTTACTAGAGTATTTACTCTCCTTCTCGAGACGTGATAAGGGTTTTACATCGTTATGATAAACGGCATTCCACGAATTGTGCTTGTACGCCTCGTTAATAAGCTTGTGAATATAATTGTCAAGTCTCCATGCATCTGGTCGCATATCAGGATTAGCATCACAACACCGCTCGGCAAGTTTCTTGTATTCCTCTGGTGCGGAATCAGGCATCGATGGTCGTAGTCCGCCCA